CAACGTGATATTGCAGACAACATCCTAAACTGCTTGTATAGGCAGCCATGTGTAAAAAGGAATTTTATAAATCTATTTCTCAGCAGAGGCAGATTTGTCTCAAATTGTTCATTTAATCTTATCTAAACACACCCATATATACAGTAGAATCTGCATTAAGCAGCCACCCAAGGGAATTTTCACAAATGACCGCTTAACGGGAGTGGCCTCTTAATAAAATCTCGTTGCTTTTTGTGCCGACATAAATTAAATATTACGCTTGGATGCATTGGAAGCGGTAAATTTGGCCGTCGCTGAATCTTGCGCCGAACGAAAATTCTTTACTCAAATCTCGGACATAACTTAACGGGAGTGGCCTCTTAATAAAATCTCGTTGCTTTTTGTGCCGACATAAATTAAATATTACGCTTGGATGTACTGGAAGCGGTAAATTTGGCCGTCGCTGAATCTTGCGCCGGACGAAAATTCTTTACTCAAATCTCGGACATAACTTCTGTAAACTTGTCATTTTGTACCAACCTTTGATACTACTGTCTACCATTGTGATGCATTTGATAATATTTATCCATTTTTGTGAAGAAAATCGATGAATTCATTTTATTTTATCAAAAAAGCACATGAACAAAAAACATCGCTAATTTTATCACCTATTTACAGGGGGTGTAACTCTGTATGTAATATTATAGGAGGTGCTAAGAGAGATACTAGTTAATCGTGACAAAACTCGGTACTTTTATTTTATTCAATCAGTATCAAACAATGTGTCGTTACGCGTGAAAACAATGATCAGGTTAGTCGTTTAATAAAACAAAAGATTAATTAACAGATAATACCGGGTTGATTGTTATGTTTACATTTCTTTTTACCTGATCAGTGGGGGTCCAGTTAATTAACTACTACTCACGGGATTAGCGGGGGTGTTACAAAGAACGACAAGATGGTATCATTCAACAATGGCCGTTGAATGGGCGATGTTTTGTTGAATTTATTAGTAAAATAGTGACCGCTGGCCGCGTTAGAGGAGTGACCGTTGAATAAAGAGATGAAACAACAGAATTTCAACGGGGGGAATTTATCGTGACCGCTTACAAGGGTATGTCGCTGAATAGGAGTGGCTGCTCATACAGATTCTACTGTAACTGAAAACGACAAATCCAAAAACTCTACAGTTCTAATGCAAATACAGTAGAATATGTACCGTCAATGCTAAGTTTTGTCACGATCATCTAGTATCTATTTTCCATCATTGCCACTTTGTTGTTAAACATAAGTTTTAGCGCCTCCTACATAATACATACAGAGTTACACCTCTCTGAAAATCGGTGACAAATTCGGCGATGGCTTTTTTTGGACATGTTCTTTTTTGATAAAATAAAATTGATTCATGGATTTTTTTCACAAAAATGGATAAATATTATCGAATACATCACAATGGTAGACAGTAGTATCAATGTTGGTACAAAATGATGATACGTTCACAGAAGTTATATCACCCATTTGAGTCAAAGAATTTTCGTTCCAAGCAAGCTTCAGCGACGGCCAAATTTACTGATGCAAGTATTCATGTTTGCTCCAAATGCATCCACATGGAAAATTTACTCGATGTTAGTAATGAAATGACATGAAATGGAGTTTAACGTCCTTCTGTTCTGCTCCGAACTGGGCTAATGAAGACGGGTTGATGTTAGTGTCAGCACAAAGAAACATTGAGATATTTATCAAGAGGTCACTCCCCCTTAAGCGGTCAGTCATGAAAATTCCCTTGAGTGGCTGCTTAATACAGATTCTACTGTACTTAGAAATTGAGAATCAGATAAATCTGTCATGGCAAAAAAAAAATATACTACCTGTACTGAATGCTACTATAGGTGAGATATATATAGGAAATATATGACCACAATGTTAAAGGTTTAATTGTTACCTCACTATGTAATAACAGCTTAAATCTCAAGTAAACACCTTAAACCAATTTCTTCTTTATAAATACCAGTAGATTTCCAAGTGTTATATCGAGGAATACTAAAAGTTGTCAATACACTTCAAACCTTTTTTAACACTACTGGTCATACCCGACTGATATGAGATCTTTTATATAAGGTAACTATTAAGTGTTGACTATAGCAGATTAGTAAGTGATACAAAATTGGGCTAAAAAGATTTAATTTGATAACTATTGTTCATTGTTGACATTGCTTTCTAGCATGATGGGTTTCTAAATGCAAGATGTTTAATATTCGTTTTCAAGTTGGGAGAAAAAATGTGACGGTCATGGCAAAGAGGAACAAGTAAAGATTAGTTTATTAATATGTTTACTTTGTCCACCAACTTCAAACAAAGCAAACTAAATCCATGTATTCCCCAAATCTAGATTTTCTCAAAGTCAACTGAGTATTCAAATCTTGATAAGCCACAATAATCAGTATAAAAACTGATGTTAAATTCCTTTTGACACCTGTATACAATTTCTTGCTTGGGATTCCAAATGGAAAGTGGTATAAGAGAGTACCAGCGCAGGCAAATAACTTATATGGAAGGTGACCAAAGAGAATGGTATCACATGCAAATAATCCAGGGTTCCCGCGGTCCTTGAAAATCCTTGAATATCCTTAAATTTAAAATTTCATTTTCAAGGTCTTGAATATCCTTGAATTTCGTGGAAATAGGAAAATATCCTTGAATTTCAGTTGAGATCCTTAATTTTGTTTCAAATGTCTTCAATTCCTTTTAAATATGAGATTATAATGATAGTTGGTAATGTTTTGGTTATTTTTAAGATGAAAAATTGTAACTTTAGGCTAAAAAATATCCTTGAAAATCCTTGAATTTGACGTATATTTATCCTTGAATATCCTTGAAAAATTGGTTGACGAAGCTGCGGGAACCCTGTAATCCATAGGAAGCATTTTTTTCTTACAATTTTAATTAAATGAAGTGTTTCCAAAAGCCAAATAACTCGATACAAAACCATCAATTAGTTCCTAATCCTTTCTATATGAAACACAAATCTAAACCAGAATTTGACTGAGGCTAACTGATAAATGATTCACGGCAAAAATCATAAATAATCAAATTTTGTTTAACCATAAAAATTTCATGTACAAATTAAAGAAAGTTATAACTGAATGAAATAATAACTAACATCAGCTTCATCAGTTAATTTCTTTAGGACAAATTAAGTCAAATGTAACACCTCTCCCTTTAAATCTATCATTCATTATATTATATGCTAATTCAGACAAGCTATGGATCATAGTACTTAAAATATTTCATGAATGGTGTCTTAAACCCCTTAAAGACAAACAATAAATTATTTTGAGTAGAATTTGATGGACAGCCGTGGGTATAAGAAAACAATCAAAAGACCATTCATATATTTTAGTAGATAAAGTCCAGTAAAAGGCTTATTATAACTTTATATTGGTGATAGTCATCATGGGTAAGCCCATTATAAATCACTATAGTCCCCCTAGCTATTCTTCACGTAAGTAGGGTCCTTAACAGATCTCCCCCTTTTCTCAATAATGTATCGATATGCATTGCCTTAGATTTTAATCTGCTCCACTTCAACTTTTTTTTTTATTAATAACTTTTTAATACATAACTTATAAAAATACATATAAGAATATATAAATCTGGACATGCTGCTCGAATAATGTTTATAAAGTTTATCACCCAATAATACATTCTACAGTAGATATCGCTTGTGTGATATATTTCATAATCTACTGCGATATCTCCTTAGGATTTGATTGGTCAGTTGAAAAGGAACTACTTTTTTTTATTTTCAAAGAACAGTTCATTTCTTATTAAAAGTAACTATTTTTTTTTTAAAAATGAACTATTGTTATTCAATTGACCTTGATGGAAACACTGGGCCAATATAAAGGACTTTGCAATGGTTGAATTGCTGTCAAAAAATGATGTATCACTACGCCGTAATGTTCAGTAAAAGTGAAATCTAGAGCAAAGAATTATATTTATCTATTTGCGCATGTAAGAAGGGATTGGGTGATAAATAAAATCTCCTACTTGTCTTTTTAGATATCAAAAAATATCAACACTCGTTGATAAAGCAAAAAAAAAAACGAGGCAGACTGGTAGGAGATTCTCTATTTATACACATTTTTCGAGCAGCAAGCCCAGATTTATATATTTTTAAAAAGTTGATGAATGGCGGTTAAACCTAAAAGAATGATGGCAATGTCATAACCTTTTTGGAAGTCTAGTGTAATGAATTATGTACCTCTTGGGTCACAATATGCATTAATATAATCTATCATTATTGTGTGACAAATTTAGGGTTCAACGTCAACCCATGTGTGTATTCTAATGCAAACCAGTGATATATACATACAGTAGAAAGAAATAGGAATAAAATAGGAATCGACCATATCATTCTGCAGTCACTTTGGAATTGCAACGTCATTTCAAAAATCAAATCTGTCAATTAATCCACACTTGTCCAATGAACAATCATGCCAATTTTAATGTTGATCGCACTTGAATTGACAGAGCTTTAGGCTTCTTTGAAGAGCATTGCCCCAGGAAGATCAAGGAAAAGAACACTACCTAGTGTATGGAACATGTTCCTGGTTTAATTAAAGTATAATTTTTTTATGCATGTCAAACATGATATTCCACTAAGTTATTTTACAATGTATCAAAGTTAAATTAATTTATTACGTTTTTTTTCTTAATTTGTAGATCTCCAAGTTATATTCGGAGAAGAAAATTGAGTTATGTTTTTGGTATATTTTCTTATTCAGCCCTAATATTCCCAAGGTCCTCACTTCCTCCCATATTGAAGCAGATTGGTTGTGTATTAGAAGAGACTAATCCTATTTTCAGAGAAGTCACCTACTACTCAGTGAATCAGATTAATCTTCCAATAAATTAGATACGGAAAAGAAATATTGTCCTTCTATAATAGATAATGTCCAAATGCGTTAATATAAGGCAAGTTTAAATGATGGAAAAACAGTAAAAATGATTTAACTCACCTAGTTCTGTCTGTTTCCGTAACTGTCTAATAGCACTGCGTATTTTGCGTTTCTCTTCATAGTCTGAGGTTTCGTTCAGCTGAAAAATAAATATACCTATCTAACAAACGTTAAGCTCTTTAAACAGTTTCTCGCGAATCATGCAATCCACATGACAACAACAAACAACCAGTCTAACCCATTCTACAAACCTCAAAAACACAAACACCACACATTACTAGAGATTGTCATTGATTCAAAGTATGGCGAGAACAATTCACCTCATGTATTTGCCTAAAACAGACGTTTTTGGGTTTTTTTTAAGTGCTGGAGCGCCATCAAGTGCTATTGAGCACCTACATGTGGATTGAGGAGAATCTATTATCGAGCATATATCAGTTAAAAATTGATGCCCATATAGTTTCCATATTTTATTTTACATCATTGACATATGGTGAAAAGTCACTGTGTAAATGTGCAACTATGCGATTAGAATGAAGTCCTAACTTATCTTTTACTCTTGCTTTATGAATGTAATCAATCACTCTCCTTATTATGATATAACTCTCCTTATTTGCATAATTCCTCACTTTGTTCAGACTGGGGAACCTTTTGAGAAGAGTAATTTTTGACTTTTGCAAATTAAGGAGAACTCTTTTAAGCTCGCCAGCCTAATATAGAAAACAATGAATGCTAAAATTTATCCCTAAAATACATGGAATTATTCTGAATCAACAGAGAATGAGCAGTAGAAGATCAATCAGGTTTCGATCAGGTTTCAACCAGTTTGTATAGAGAGACAAGGATTCAAAAGTACAAAAAAAATAGTTAGCTATGTGATCTTCCAAAATAAAGGAGAAGTGGTATCATGTGTTCCAAAGAGTATGAATACCATGGAGCTATAAATTTAGTACTGGTAACCCTTTCTGTTTATTTATATTTTCTTCCCTCATTATTAAATCCACTAACATATCGACCAAATAAGTATTTAAATGTCCATGTTGATAAATCATTAATTATCATATTGGTATTGTGGTTAAATGTTTACATAATGGCTCCCATCTGTCATTGTCGGTTTCCAATAATATGTTCTGTCAAAACTGTTTATTTGAACTAGACATCATAGAACGTGACAATGGGTTTGATTTTATTATATTTGTATATACCCACAAGTCAAGGCTAATGATACCCAAGTTGCAAATTAATAAGTTGGTTCAGAAATCAGATACAGGAAGTACCTGAAATGTAGCTGGTGATTTTGTAAGCCTACAGCAAAATTATAAAAACTTTAAATATTAATATCACACTCATTCACATGAGCAGATATAGATATATAAAATCCCATCGTATTACAATGTCCAACTGTCAAGGAAATGTGAGTAAGGATGTTCCTCATACTTAAGAACACAATATTTTGATCCATCGAGCAAACTCAATTATGTGGTTAGCATTCTAATATAGGAATATGCCTATATTGGCTGAAGTACCAATAGCTTGATAACGTTGACAGATTACTCTTCAAAATTTTCCCTATTAGTAGCTGTTTTTCCAATTATGTTTTTAATAGTTAAGAGGCTTTGTTAGTGTGAAAATGTTGCAAATTGATAATCCATTGACACGCACATTTGTCAGCAATTAAAACACCTACCGGTATATTGGCACATGAATGCAAGGGTTCAGATGAAGAGTTCAAGTTTCCCTTGTATTTTAAGACAATTTCAAGGAGACTTTGCTCATGTGCTTCAAATTGAAGCCTTCAATATTTCTGAAAAAAAATAGCCTACGATATTTCTTTAAAAACTCTAAATCTAAAATGTATACAGTAACCATGCCATGTAGTTGAAACTTTTTAAAGGTAACTAGATTATTTACAAATGGTTTTTCTATTCATCTGTATTGATATAAAGAATTTGTACTTGTTTTGTATCTTGAGAAAATAAGCCATTTTCTTTATTCTAGTGTACATGTTTGCCGATACTGCTTAAAGGGCTCTCAGAAGTGAAACAAAAATACAAGTGGTATTGAAATATGACACAAATTGTGACTGGTCACAATCCGTTTATTATTATTTTAATCACACCTACTTTAGGTTTCATGTAGTTATATTTGAACTACGTGGATAATGGCCTTACCCAAAACTGTAAGACTTAACAAAATAAAATAATGTTAGCATCCAATCCAGGACTGTTGTTTCAGTCATTTTGCCAGTTTTGACTAACCGGCTGGAGAACTTACCTGCCACAAAATTAGAATTTGTACTTAAATATAGTTTTATGTGTAAAAACACATAAATATATATAAATGAAATATATATGGAATGTAATTGGGAACTTGTTGATAAGTAAAACACTGGTGGTAGGGGGTGATAGGGTTACCAATCTGATTAAAATACAGATCTATATTTTGTTTTTGTTTTTTTATACCTTTCACGGCCTACACTACATGAAGATCTGACCAGTTGTAGTGGGAGGTCGTGTCAGAAGTCATATGAGTGGCTTTTGACCCTATGTGACCCTATGTGTCTAGTGGTTTACCCACAGTTCCGTGCATTGCACACCAAGAACTTGCCATTACAGACTGTTTCATTGGTTAATCCCTCACATTAACCAGAACACAGCTTATATACCAACTCTTCTAGATCCTAATGTTGTGAAGACAAGTAAAACAAAATTTTGAACTATAAAAAACTAAACGAAATAGGATCTGTGTTTTAATTAGATTGATAGGGTTACTTGCTGATCTTAATACAAAAATAGTTTTCACCTAACACTAGGGGTTTCAGGTCAAAGTTTCAAATGACAGAAAAAAAAAAATTAAAAATATTTTGTGAAAATATACATAAAATGCTACCCAAATTTGTTTATTTCATCAAAATATTCTAATTAGATCCAAAGTTATGGAATTTTAAAATCCGAGATCGACGTCAATAATGTAATCAAAATGCTCTATACCAGTCAATGCGTGGCATGGCTGTGCTGTCCGATTTCATGATGGTCACGTGACCTGAAACCCCTACTAACACATAAGCACAAGGCAGATGACCACAGGGCATCCCTAAACAGCGACAGAAATTTTAAAAAAGTGACTTACCAATGTTCTTAGTTTCTCAGTATCTTCTATCTTATCATAATCCACATGTTTATTATCACCCTTAATTTCTCTTGAGGCCAGGGAGGACTTTTCTCTTGAGGCTGTAAATATAAAATACACACAAATTCACATTTTGCCCATTTTTCCTTTTCATTAATCAAAAGTTTGACCCCGCCTTTGGACATTTTTCTTTCTTATTAATTAACAAGTTCAACTCTGTTTGGTATATCCCTGTGGTTTCTAATGAGATTTGTCAATTTGTTGTCATGAACGGCTGATTTCAGTCACAAACTGTCTACATGAAAGGACGAGAAGGTGAGCAGCAATCAGACACCATATAGGGCTAGCATCATCAAATCCTCTTACATGCTATTCAAATTTAAAGTTCATAAAAGACTCAAAATTAGATACAAAGTTCATAAAAGACTCAAAATTAGGGTACATGTATACATGTACATTTAAACTTCTTCACCTCCATGCAACCATAAAGTTTAAGTGTCCACAGGCAACAAAATATACATTTACAGCAGCTAAGTTGCATATCAACAAGGTTGTTGCCTATTTATTCTTTTGTAATTAATGAGAGCATTTACAAGACACTAAAACCTGATCAAGCGTAACAACACATCAAGTATTTATCAAAAACAATTAAAGTTTGATTGGCTTCTAGTTCTTCACAGTGCTAACATTTACTGATAATCAGATAACTTTATAGCTGTTCAAGATATCACACTTCTTAGCCTCAAGAACAACCAATTTCAAAATAACTTAAAGCATGGTCCAAAAAATTCAAAATCAGTAGGCGAGGGAGGTGGTGGTGTGTGGGTACCAAGATGGAGGGGAGGGGGGGTCTTTGGTTCCACTTCTGAACAAGCACCTCCTTCCACACAGCAGTTTTAATATATGAGAAATGATTTATGTATTATAAATATCAGACCAGATGCAATACTATTCTATTTTGCAGAAGAGTTATAATCAAACTTTGGAAAAACTCTGTAAGAAAAGATGTATTTACATGCTTAGTAAGAGTGTGCAAGGTGTATGTCACCTTATTTCACTTATCATTATTTGAATAGTGTCTGTGGTACATGTTTTACTCAATATTTAACTTGTTCTTTAATCTTTCATTCAATAACAAATATAACCTTTTCTCAACAGGGGTTAATAGAAAACTTTATTGCACATCTAAGTTAATAAATATGTCACTCAAGTGCTACTTTTGACAAAAAACTATTTTTAGTGTACTTTGTTCAGGGAAAAAACTCTGCATCATGTTTTGGAGACATCTCAGCATGTATCCAAATTGCATACCCTCTAGGCTTATCATGAAGAAGAAATAATGTCACACGATAATGTGTAGAAACAGACTTCTCAAGTTTCTGGCCACTGAGTTGCGGCTTTTGGTTTCTAAAGAACTCTTAATTCGACCCCTATTCTAACGGGATTCGGGGTTACGAAGGAATAAAGGACTTCATTTGCCAGGATTAACCTTTAGTTTATCTGTATTCTGTCTTTATTCCAGTTAAACATAGACTATTAAAGTGAGTATAGAGAGTAAATATGACAATATCGTATAACACAGACTTTACAACCACTCCCACTCTGGTAAATACTGGATAAAATAACATATTCACCACTTTCACAGTTATTTTATGGTCCCAAATGACTTCATTTATTTCCTCAAAATATTTTTAAAAATTGAAAATTTGTTTCTTACAAGGGCATTAGAAATTCAGTAAAAACTATTTTTAGATTTGAGAATGATCTGTCAATCCATTTCTAAGATATGGACGTTTTAAGATTCTGTACGAGTCATGTGCATGTACAAGTAGTGGTTTTCAAAGAGTAAACAGAAATGAAAAAGAAATGAAATGAAATGGGGTCTACTGTTCTGATCTGAATGGGTTAATGGAAACAATGCAGTGTGTTATGAGGGAAATTTTGTCCAAACAGCAGCACTATGGCCTACTTTTATACCAAATTCCAATTGTCAAGGGTTTTATTACATGCACACCAATGTGTACACAGAACCTCGGTTTTTCGTCCCATCTGAATGACAATAAGTTTTCCCTTGCCGGAAGGCCTATCTCCGTCCTACACCACTGACAAGGGGGAACAATGCCAGATGAACTTTCTACACCACCCTCAGGATTAGACACGGGACCTCCAGGTTAGCAAACCAACGTCTTACTCACTGAGTCACCGTGGCTCCCAAGACTAAACGGACATTCATAAAAAATGCTTTGATGCAAATACGTCTTGGATTATCAATGATTGGCAGAGTGAAGGTCTTTTTATGAATAAGATATTTTATGAAATTAATGACATTTATTTTCTTGTTGAAATTTCCAATGTTTGCAAACAGTGAAATAATTAATTCGATACCGTTTTGAGACATATGCCAGTATGCATTGACTTTTGTTTAGCTTAAAATGTATTATTCTTTAATAACTTTGAAATTCTCAGTTATAAGGTTTCGTAGATTTTTCTTTATTATTAGCACAAGTATTTCCAAATTCTACAGGTAAATATTTAGTTTGACAAGATCATCAACTTTTGTGCTTACTTTATTTCTATCTAGGCTGTGACCTTTATTTTTTGTATATTTATATCTTTCTATATTTATTTCACAAATTCATTAAGGGTATTTTATTCTTTGTCACTGGACTGAGAAACCTAATGACATACACACCAGTAAATAGAATCTTTAAATACAAGAGTCCCAATGGCCTTAATAAACAAACACTTGAAAGTATGGTAGATCTACATGAATGAAGATAAGAATATGACAGTCTACAATGAAATCTGTTTATCATTGTCATTTTTGTGAATAAATTTTACAGTAATCAATCGATATATTGTTAATTAGCAAGATGAAAAGATATTTGTAATGATTAACCAAGATACAAAATTTACTCTGTGGCACCAATATGAAACATGACTTTATATTTTCAAACTGTTAAATAAACTGATCAAGGAACAATAATTATACCACCATTGACTTTCTAAGGAAACACAAAATCATTAGTATCATGAGATACCCATTCAGATTATAAATGCATGCATTCATAAATCATTTGTTTACATCTAGGATAAATATCTTGCATATAGATAATACAGTGCAGGCATTAGACAATTCAACCACCAAATCTCACATGCCATAAATTTTTTTTAGAAAAAATCACAAAATTACAAGTATCTATATGTCCTGTCCAAGAATGAGATCTTGAAAGGATCTATTTGTCCACACGCCCTGTTCAGTCTATATTTAGTTGTGCGGTTTTCTTGCATTTTATATCAAATGGACAAAAACAACCTAGATTCCAGCAAACATTACTTTTACAGGTAACTGGAAATGTCTTGTTCCATTTACGTACACAAAACAGATCGAATAACACTTACCAAATTTGATTATAAATAATTTTCTGGATTTTGAGTATTCTTTAAGATTTAATCCAAGCATTTTCAATATCATTCAAATTATCCAATTTCCAGAAATGAGTTCATCAGATCAATTAACTAAAAGAAGATGTTATCATTGCAAGGAATGTTTGCGAGCTCATAGATAATCACACACAACTTGTCACTTTAAACAGATAAAAAAAACATCTTCCTCTAAAAAGAGATGTATCTAAATATTGAATGTTAATTTTAAAAAAACCCATTGTTTTATCATCAAATACAACTTATAAACTAACCACTTTGATGTCCTAATCAATATTCTAGTACCCACAGGTATAATCAATAAAACAATCTATAACAGGTACATGTACTCCATTTAAATTCCTCAAGTTGAAATCTATTAAACACATTAAATTCCTCAGTGTATTTCAAGCTTAGATTTATTGGCATTGCATGCAAGTTTTGAAGCACATTAGTATCGTTTTATAACTACAGTAGATTTGGTTCTTTTTTTTCCCTTTTTTTTAATTCTTTTTTAGAGATAATGCTCTTTTTTGCTAAAGAAATACTGTTCTGGTTCAAGATGAATTAGCAGTTTGAAAAAAACTCCATGTAGGACAACTTTTTTGTTCTCAACTTTGCTCACAGATTTAACATACTATGAAATAACATTTCTTTTGTGCAGAACTGAATTCACTTGTAGTTCCAGAAAAATTATAAACATGGCATTACTCCGGTAGTAAACAGCATAGCAGTTTCATTCTCATATAGTTTTGCTAGCTGTAACTTGTTTAACAACAAACATAGCACTATTTTCTCTATCACAGACTATATAAACATCTAACAGAGAGACAAATTTGACATGTCGTTTTGACAAGTTTTGACAAATAACGTGATCCATGGATCAAACTCTGTCTATTGAGCTATTATTTATCATAATATGATGTCAACATTGGTTACAAAATTCGATCTAGCAGAGTCATAATACCCTTACTTCATTATTAACTCATTCTGACTCAATGTTAGAGAAAACCTAATCCACATTTTATCAGCACAATGGACACATTCAAACAACCTGATAGAAATATTGTCAACACTTAAGAAACAATATGGGGATTTAATGATGTGAAGATAACCGCCAGATAATCCCTAAATTGATCTTATTCTACACTTGTAAGCTCTTCAATCGTATATTACCTTATGAATATATCATTCTTACTTTACTTTTCCTAATTTACATTCATTTCAAATAAGAGTTCTACACTCTTATTATTTATTTAAGTGCACACATGTAGTTATAAATAGGTGATCATATTAAATACTAGGTGTGGATGCATAATCCATATGACCTCTTGACCCTGCATCCCCCCATCTTCATAGTTACATAAGGACTGCACTATAAACAACAAAACAAGTCAATATTTGTCATGTTGTGTTTCTATCATTCAAGGAGAGAGAGAAACAGGGTTTAACGTCCACTTGACACAAACTAGATCATTTCGGGACTAACATTTGGTTCAATTTTATTTTAATAATTCGCTTGTGTGTAGGGGTCTTTAGTAGTGGGATGAAACCGGAGGACCTGGAGAAAACCCACAAGGTTGGACAGGTGATATTATAAGGTCCATGAGCATACCATGGTTGTACCTGTACTCATTGACACCATCAGTGCTAGAACCTTTCTCAATACAGACTAAAGTTAATTGAACCTATGGAATATATAGCTACCCCAGGTGTGGACAGAGAAAGAGCCTGTAAGTATTGTAGGCCCCTAAGTTAATGTTCTCACATAGTTTGGGGACCCCTTTTTATTAGCTTGAGGGTCTATTTTTTAGTTTGGTGGCCCTGTTTAGTTGCATGTAGTTTTTGATGAATTGATGAGATTTTCACTGGCTATATTTGTGCATAAGCTAAAATCATAAAGATATACTGTAAAAGGCACTTCCTTAGAGTGGGGACCTCTCATTGGGCCAGACTCAAGAACCTGTACATCCCTATGTCCTCCCCTAGGCTACCCTTACAACTAAATGCATGTGCCTATGTACTGAAACAAACAGAATTTGGGGAAACAGATCAGAGTTTGGACTGATAACATCTTTCTGATAAAAGTGAATAAAAATTTATAACAATACCATTTTTGTTGTGTGAAGACTAAGACTTTTGTGTTAAACCCACACCTGTGGTGGAGTGTGCATAAGGCTATTACTGTTGTTAACATATCTATATATCATTGTTGACATTAAATTGTGTTTAAAAAAAAGGTAACTGTTTGGCATTGTTTTTGCTTCTACTAAAGGTCAACAATGTAAAATAATGGCTAAACTGTAAAGGTTGAAATACCAGAGTAATAAGCACTAAACTATGATTAATTCAACCACATAATATGAGAATGTCCTTGGTTAACCCTGTTGCTTGTAGGTACATTTTTAATGTTATTATTATTTATTTGGGCGATTTACAAGATTTGATACAACTTTCTGAAGTTACATTAAATGAAATAATACATGTGTTTAAATACAATCTTTTCATCTTCCAGAAGGTTTTTGAAGAGCTAAACCATATGTTTATAAAACAGGGCCCTTATTCACGAAAACTTAAACTAAGATACAATTGAAATTTTAAGAAATACTGCAATTCGATTGGCTGACCAGTAAAATCAATTTGCATATATCCAATGAAGTTGCAGTATTTCTTAAAATTTCGGTTGTAACTTAGTTTAAGTTTTCGTGAATAAGGGCCCTGAAAGGACTGTGCTTGGGTAAATACATTCTAACTAAAAATCAGCATATTTCTCTAAGTCTTCAGTCTTCAATGGATCAGATTTACAGTGCCTTTAATTATGTCACTTCTAGTTAGTACCAATGCTTTTCAATAAATACATATTTAAGATGAACAAATTGTTCACTAAATTGCAAGTAAACTTCGGGGTGAAGAACTAAATGTTAGACATGACAGGAAATTGAAGGGAATGTTAAATTGTAACCTTGGTAAATTAAACAAACCTACGATAAATATCAGTAGGTCAATATATTCCATTAATATAAATACTTTATATATCATCACTGTCAATTGTTATACATCTACTAGTATATGGTTTTCAAATTGTTTACAAGGAGCAGGAAAATGGCTCCTGTCCTCACCTTGAACTCAGGTCTACATCTGCTAATCTGACAGAAAAAATTGCAGGTGACAAAGGGTATGAGATCATTTTACAGATATAAAATACAAGTAAATGATTTCTTTTCATGGATGAAAAATATGAGTTTGAGATGAAGACATCAATAAAGAAGATAATGAATGACCAAAAGATTGTCAAAGATGAGGCCCCTGAAGAAATAATTAACAAAAGAAATTGATAACATGCTACACTTCAACAATTCGACTGGGGTTATAACTCTGTCATTTGCAATCAAATTATTTTAAAGTTTAATACAGATACATCTTATGATTTAATGAACAATATGACCATGTTTTTAAAACTATCTCCTATAGAATTTTTTCATAAACTTTTAAAATATGAAATGAAAGATAACTCTGAAAAATGCATTTGAAATTTACAATCTATTCAGTAGGGTTCTTCCTTATACCCTAATGAACAATCCCACCAAGTTTTAAAATATTTCATTAAGAACTCTGTCCTTTACATAGATTTCATAATTAATAAATTTGAAGGTATACATGAACATGGAGTTAACGCTGAAATTTTTGATTGAAATATTCTGAATTTGGCAAATGTTTCTCTCTTATTAAATCTCCCTGTAAATTCTGTGCAAGTTTTAAAACATTCAACCAAGAACTTTGTCCTACATAGCCCTAAAAAAACCTAGTCATTATGAGCTAAACAAAATAAGAGGTACGTAAATAAAATGAAATGGGGTTTAACGTCCAAAATAAGAGGTACATGTAACTTTGTCTATGGTGGCACTATTTATTATTTAGCCATTAACTGAACTAAAAAATCAAAATATGATAAATTATAACTATCTTGTGGACATGAGAAAATAAATTGTTCCTACCTAAAATTTCCCTTTCTCTAATATCTTTTATTCTTAATCGTATCTTCTTTCTCTCACTTAAATCTGTTGTCTGGTTCAACTATAAAATATAGAAGTTTAAAACGACATGACATTAGGCTGTCCTAAAGACATAAAAACAAAGATATAAATGTCACATAATTGTTTATAAACATAATTCATGAATCACTGTGTTATTTCATAGATTAGAATAATAAGACAATTACCACTGCATGCAATAACACATGATAAAAATAGTGGTTCAGTCAGTTGTAGTGATCGGATTTCGCCCGCATATTCCGGACATGTCCAACACTATTTTCCAAACGTCATAATTTGTCCGACCAGGAATATGCCCAATCGGACATCAAGACATGGTAAATAATATGCAAAATTCCAAAATTAATATAGTGTACTACTGAGTGCATATCTACCACTGATAATAGGCTGGATTGATTAAGTAATTAAAAGATCAACGTATTTACCGTGTGATACCGTCTATACCTTGATTAACTACTTAATCTGCCTTGATTGACTGACTTAATCCTTTGTCGGACAATTCATCAATCCAATCCTGAACCGAAGTCATTGTTTCTTCTTCTTCGGACTATGTATCAATCCAATAACAGTGATTATAAACATAATCAACGTGGTTAACTTGGGGTTTCTTCATTGTCAGACATTTTCATCTCCTTGATGTCAGTCGACAACATGTAGAAACCAGTCATATATGTCACATATCCTATTATATCTGTTAACTTGCGAGACAAGTGAAATTACAAGAGTAAACGCGACAATTATCACGTGGAAAATGTCAGAGAAAAGATTCTTTTTTGATGCATATTCTCGGGTTTATGATAATATTTTGAATGGGGTTTATGTTTTTAAAAAAAGAAATAAACAAGCTGAGAAATGTACACAAATATTTCAGATTCAATTGGAATAGTGTAAGTACTTAATTGTTTTACACGATAGCGTGTGCGATCAGAGTTGGGTGCTATTATTTGGCAGATGATGTCACTCGCTCTGTATCATGGAGCGACGGTTACTGCCCCAAAATATTTTTACCTCCATCCGTATATTAGTCGAAACGGAGTATAAGACAAATGCATGGGAATTAAATATGAAAAATAACAAGGTGCACCTATTTTTTTTATTACGTATGAATTTGAATATTTTGTTGACACATGATTTCTGTGTGTGGTCTGAAACTGCCTTCTTAAATAAAGATAAGAGTTATGTCCCTTTATTTTCGGTAAAAATGTCCAACAAGAAAATATTTGAAATCCCAACACAGGTCAGTGGTTTAGATATTTTTCTGGAGGTGGGTGTGGCTTAAGGTTATTAGCATTATGGGAGGTAAACATATTTCTTAATATCAGATTGTTCATTTCTGGAAATCCCTAACTGACAGTAAAATATACCATATACAACATATTTGTATGATGTCACTTCATGTTTGTGTTATACAAGGAATGGCTTTTGGAGATTAAAATAACAGTACTACGGTAATTTAGTTGATTAAAGATACATTAGTTTAGAGTTTTATAAAGAATTGGCCATTCTTGCTATAATAGTTCAAAAATAGATGATAAAAAAAGAAAATGTTGAAAATTTCAGTCAAATTACTTTGTTCTGAACGGAATTGTCACTGTTAGAAGTTTGGACTAGAAATAGCCATCAATTGTGTCTTCACCATCTATGAGAATTAGCGATCATTTGATTGACAAACAATAACTCCACCCACATATTCTCGAGCATTAAGTAACATGCTCAATGGCTATGGTAGCCTCGCTTGGCAGGCTTTTCATCACCAGTTTCTGGTTGTGACATCAGGGAGTAACAGTAAACGTTAGCTTGGTCCGCCATTTATTGATTTAATTTTAAATGGACAAGGCTGTTTAAATCCAAACTGTATCCAAGCCATCCGTGGGTCTACAGAGTTGATTTTAAGCTTGTCGTGTAAATAAAGGTCTAATTAATCATTTCTGTAACATCTGAAGCCTAAATAGGCAGATTTAGCTCTTGCATAATGTATGTTTAAGTTAAGTTATCAAGCATGCCTAGAAAAATAATAAATTGAGGACCCACAGGCCTAATGAAAGACACAAACACCTCTTTGAGGTGAGGATGTGTTGGATGGGGTCTGGTATAGTTTTATAGTCTTAATAAGATGCCAGAAGAGGTAGAAAAAACAAAAAACAAAGCAAAACCTGCCCTGGGTGAAAAATTTCTGAAATTGAATTTGACATCAGGACAGATATAATATTGATGTCTGTCTGCTCATGAACCATCATATATTGGTTAATATAAACAAACACGCCTCCAGTAAATTAAAGATAGTCAATAGACAGTATGTTAAACAGACATTATTCATTTTCACCCTTATTCTTCATTCAAACAATCCCCCTTTTCACTGTCTAGTTTTTTCATAAAGAGTCGAGACCCCACTGGCGAAAGATATTACACCTTTGATATGCTTATTGTTGTGTAGCGACCTTGATGGTATTGTAGTGGCAACAATCATTATATTTGAATAGGTATACAGCAGGGATATAAGATGAAGTGAGCGGGTAGGGTTAAGCTCACACGATATTACCTATCAAGCTATCATATTGTTATCTTATGATAAGAACATTTTTTGTCTTTGTCCCTTTAAAGACTGTACTTATCACAAAGTATTAATTTACATGTTGTAAATGATATATTTTGATTAAAATTATGGTAAGCCTACAAACATATATTAGATATACAGAAATAATCATTTGTATAACACAGAATATATTTACAAACTATGGCAATCAAAATTTGATGAATTTCCATAAATCAAATTAAGCCTGTAGATTTTCTGGTGGCCATTTACTCAGAACAAAATATTTTCCATGGATACTAAAATTAAAAGCACTGAGAGCGATTATCTGAAGTGAGTGTAAATAAGGTTCAAACAATTCAAAGTCAGTAATATCTTTAGTGCAATTGAACTGAATTTTAATTGTGAAACTCTATGTAACAGTCACGGTTTTGAAACCATGTATTATTTTTGTTTTCCAGTCTGATTTATGTGAATAAAATTCATGAATCTCTATAAAACTCAATGACTGTTATTTAAAAATTGTGATGAACTAACATTTGACGAGTTCAAATAGCTAACAGATCTTTGTATTAATATACATTTAAAATAAAATATTTTTCAAATATTATATTACAGATTTTTATGTAGAGATGGATGTCAATGCCTGCTTGCTATTTTTAGAACACCTGATTTCACTTCTAAAATACCTAAAACATCTCATAACACTAGACTTAAGAATCAGTCCATGACTCAGATAAGATTAAAATGGGGTTAATTGGCTCCTTAACGTTTTGAGATTAAAATGTGGTATTTTTCATTTCAATAGTTACATGTGTGAGGAGTAGAATTTTGCATGAACAGCAGCATATTTCTGCCTACTCTTCATTGAATACCATCTACCAAGGGTATTTTTTAAGTGCACACCAAAGCATTTTTCATGCCATCAGAACAACTAGTCAAACTTTTCTTCTCAGCTCTAGACATGCGTCACCTGAGGAGAAGAACAGGGTCCAAATGACATTTCGAACCAGAGACATTCTAGTCTGGAGGCCAGGGCCCTACAGCTCAACCACTGCAGTCCCTCTCACTCAGATTACAGTAGATTCAAAATTCACCACAGTTTATTTTATTGTTTAAGTTTGACGATGCTGCTCATTTATGGAAGTAACTATGGTTTTTGTTGTTTAAAAGATAGAAATGTCTAAAGAAATTACTTCAAGTAGCGCTTTTAAGGTCGCATTACATCAAATTTTTACATGCATTTATTTCTTTTCTTAAGTATTCAGTTGACCTAAAAACTAAAAGACATACATGAAACTTATAGGTCGCAAATTCTTAACAAATTCACCAAATGATTTATCAACTTGAATGATTTCATTGAATTTCTAATAACAGGTGGTCTGACTTCAATTTCAATATACAATTTAAACTAAACACCACAGGACATACCCATGTGATCATTTTACAGTCTGCTTCAAAGAAAAGAAAAGATGTTTGACATTTCTTTAAACTGTATTGAATGAATATTAATTTGCTTTTAGTGTGATGAACTGAAATCCCTTGGTTATTTTATACATCCATAAACCACATGTGAAAAATAACTGAGAATTCGCATTTCACAATGTAAACATTAATTATTCCACACAAAATATCAGAGGTCTCTTAACAAACAAAAACTCTAGCGGATATTTGAATCTCAAGGCTTTACGCTTGTTAAATCTGACTGGAATTTATACCCGGGCAGCATAACCTTCACGCATTTGAAATTCTCAATTTGATATAAACAATTTTTAATATTACATGTATATTCAAAAGGTTTGGGAGAAATTTAATTTGAAGATATTTACCAGGGTTTTCAGCTCCTCTTCAGAATCAATATCATCAAAACTCTTTTTGTCTTTATTATCTTGAACATCACTATCTAGTGCAGAAGCTTTACTTATCTCAAAATCTTTGCTACCTTGTTCAAAAGAGACTCTTCTTGCTGGTCTATTTCTGGACTCTAAATTAAAACTACCAGAGCTTCCGAGCTGAACTAATGGTAAAGAAGTTCTTATGTTTGATTTTAGTTCTTTCTTTGGAACTGCTACATCTGATGGCACATTTCCAGAAATTGGAAGACTCCGCCTTAATGGCTCACTACGAATAAACGATGGGCTTTGCGAGATCTCATTGGTAGAAATTGGAGATGCTTTGTCCAAATAAATTTTTCTCTGATCCTCTATGGTCTGATAATTTGGAAGAGCTCTAGTATTTTCACTTTGTTGCAGGGGTGTGATATTTGCTTGCGCGTTATTACTACAATCGTTTGTGAAGATGTCTTTATTGCGAACTGGCTGACGTTTTGTATAGAGTGCATTTCTATTTGAAAGGGAATCTGACAAATTGTTGTTTTTCTTGACTTCATATTTATCCGGCAATTTTGAGATATCACTCAATTTTGGACCTGTATTATAGCTTTTGTTACTTGTTAGCCAATAATTTGATTCTGATGGTAAGCTATATTGATCTACTTTTTTGTTCATAAGTAAATTTCTTCCAGCTTCATTTTGCTTGTATGTTTGTGCTTGAGATTCTTTTGAGCCATGTCGACGAGGCGTTGTATGCAATTGTATTGATCGGAGAGTTGTGGTATCAGATTTAAGGCTTTCTGGGTGAGCTTTTGGGGAAGTTAACAGAAAGTGTGATTTTATATTACCTGTGTTATTTAACCGACTTGTAAGACGAGATGTGCTATCATATACAGGTGGTTTGTTAACGACCCTATGTTTACTTGCATCTTTCAACAATTTATCATTGCCTCGGGTAGAGTTGTCCACACGATACTGTGAACCATTATCTTTTCGATCATTGTATGTTCTGACTTTGACACCATTTCCTCTCAACACAGCTGGTGGATCTGAATATTTCTGAGGTCTGCAGTCTCTTAATGCCGCTCGAATCTTTCTTCTTTCTTGATACTCTGCACAGTTTTCAAGCTGAAAAATAATGGAACAAATAATTACAATGTAAAAACCATAAAGTCTTCTCAAATAGGAATATCGGTTTAAAAATGATTCAATTCTGTTCAGTATTTAAAAAGTTATGTTGAACTGAAATTTCATCGATCTACGCTGTTCGTTATGTAATAACCCCGCAGCCATTTTGTTGTGGGCAAACAGAAATGATAGGCCTTTTTTAAATCAGATTGAATCCAAGCTGGAAAGTTATCTAGTGTTAGTATTTTGAATGTGTTTTCTTAATTAAATGTTAAATAACCAATCTGAGTACATATTAGTGTGGATTTGATAATTTAGCGTAAAAAATGCAAATGATACATTGTTACTTTAAATTAAATTAACATATGATTCAGTCTTTAGAAGTTTTTGTCAAAGCACCAAATCACATTTGGTTAGTAACTTAATTAATTGTATACAGAATATTTATACATCATTAAAATATTTTTTGTCAAGTATGCCATTTGTCTTAACTACATCTTAAATTACAATTTATAAATATATTTATAAGTCAACATAACAATTTCTATTTAATATACTGTAAGTAAATTATCTACCAGACATTGTATACAATTGTCGAGGTATCAGATTTAGAGCCATCTGGGTGATCTTTTTGGGAAGTTAGCAAGTGTGATTTAATATTATGTGTGTAGTGTATCGTAATATGATATAGGTTATTTTATATATACTGTGGGTGGTTTAATACCAACCTGGTGTCTACTTGCATCTTTCAACTATTTATATTATCATTGCCTAGGTTTTAGTTGTCCTATTATATTATTATTATTATTATTAGAAATGGTCTCTTGATCTCTAAGTCATGACAGAGTTATTTCCCTTAAATTTTTTCCAAAGTTTCTTGCTCTTCATAAATTCTGCATGAAGCAGGTTTTTACTATTTATGGGGTGGGATCAGTGCCGGATTAAGGCTCTGCTGGCCCTAAGGCACATTTTGATAGGTGGCCTGAAAAACAGATATGTTGGGCTCATTGACAAAAGGAATTAAGTTAAATTTAGCAACAGAAAATTTATTACAAACAAATTCAGAACATTGACAGTACTGTATTTACTATAAGTAGCCTACATATTACCATTCACTTCCTTGTTAGATTACGACAAACGCGTAGATGAAGAAGGATGCAATTTATTTACATAAAAATAAAGGCAAGCATTTTTGTCACCACCTGATAATTATCCAAAAAGTTTTACTTTATTATTTTTTTTGCCTGGATTTTTGGCTGACCCTAAGGCACATGCCTTATTTGCCTTATGGTTAATCCAGCACTGGGTGGGATCAGAACCCACACTCACATTATCTGACGCAAGTCCAAAATGACATTAATGTCACCATCCCCGTAAAATGTGGGGGACACAAACCTGCCTCTACCTATAAAAGAGCATTTGCCCCCCCCCCCCCCATAAACCATAAATCTGGTCTGCCCTCTGTTTGCCCCCCAATAATTTAAAAAAATCACAGGCCAACAGTGAGGCTGATGTTCCCCATCGAAGTCCTGAAATAAATAGATGACACACATTAATAAATAGCACATGATTATCAACTATACACTAAGTTTAATCAGTCTCTATCAGATAGAATCAAAGTTATCTTGTCCCAAACATCGACCATTGAAAATCCCTCCAACCACCGCCGGCAGGCGCCGTCACTGCCTGGGACATTTTAGTTAAAGAGTACAGTGTCATGTCCACTGTTTTACCCTTATCAGTGGCCTACTGTTCTGCTCTGCTGACTGGGCTATTGAAGACGGGCATATGCCATACAGTGTGCTATGAGGGAAGTTTTGCCCAGACAGCGGCACTACAGCCTTCCCTTACGAATTCCAACTGCAAAGGGATCATTTACGTGCACACCTATCTGTCCATGGGATCTCTGTTTTTCATCCCATCTGAATGACTATAATGTTGTCGACTGCTAGGAGCCAACATTTTACTCACCGAACAACCGCGGCTGCTGCCTGACAAGGAACAGCATTCAGTCATTCGGAAGGAAACAAAAACAAAGGTCTTATATACAAGTTGACCTGGGCCCTTATTCACGAAGATCTTAAACTAAGATACAATAGAAATTTTAAGAAATACTGCAATTTGATTGGCTGACCAATATACAAATTGGATATATGCAAATTGATTTTACTGGTCAGCCAATCGAATTGCAGTATTTCTTAAAATTTCGATTGTATCTTAGTTTAAGTTTTCGTGAATAAGGGCTCTGCACATAACGAACCCTGATGGGGGGTAGACAGAAATGCCACTGTCTAGGCAAAATTTCTCTCATAGCACACAGCATCGTACATGCCAGTCTTCATCAGCCTGTTATGCATCACATGCCTTTACCTACAACAGTTTTATCTTTGCTTTCTTTACCATTACCCATTATTTAGTTGAACCCTCTTACAAATTTTCAAATCTTTATGATTGTCTAATTTGAATATTTTACTGGTATATTTATGTCTTAACTGTCAAATGGCCTCTAGTTACCCTCTAAAGAAGATTTATAAGGTCCTTGAATTAAACCTATGACTAATTGAGATAAATTACAATAGATTATCCCTACTAATTACCAAAGTGACTAATTATATATGCAAGTAACCTGTGTACTTCTTAATCAAACAATGAATGAATTTCATTAGGTCTATATCAACGCTTATCCCACTGTCACCCAATTGAAATGTTTGTGTAGTCCTTCATACAATGCATGTATAGGCCTTTATAGTATAAATCACTTTGTGTACAATTGTTAAGTTTATTAGTATAAAGCTAGATAATTTCACCTATCTAAAATAAACTATAAATATTGATAGTATATGTACCTTTATGAAGCTACGATACTTAGCTATTACTTATATCTATACCTACATATTGTATATTGGCTGTTAAAACTCTACTACCTATAGGGTACTTAAATAGAAATCAATTTATGAACTTGTGCACATTATTGAGTTTTTTATGACACATATTTTGGATTGGTTAAAGAGCTGCTAATGCTTTTATAATTAATAGCTAAATACTTCACTGTGATAAAACTGATCGCAATTGATATTATATGGAGATTGATGACATATCAAATCATTGAGATATCTCAGTAGTTTCTTCTTTTCATGCATTGTATAAATGTTCTACAACTTGTTTTAATAGGAGAGAATTTACCAGACTAAAAGCAAATTGTCAGTCCATACATATACTATTCAAAAAAAGGAGGGGATATTTGATTTTGGGGGCATAATACTAAAATATGCAAATGACTACGAAAAAAGTCACTATAGAACCTAACAGAAGAAACATTTCCAGTTACATGTGACGCCCAAACGCACCAATAGCTACCGCATGGAATGCAGGTGATGCTTGGGATCATCATGGGGGTCCAACCCAAGATTTGCACGACTCTGACTTTGAATGTTACAGTCATTGTGGCATTGAATTCCAGGGTGGAAACATCAGTTTAATTGTTTTAGTGACCAGAAAACAAATTTTGATATGCGTCGGCTTACCCAAAATGAAAGGTTACGTGCCCTTGGCATGCTACAGATCGGCACAACACAGGCGGTTGTGGCGCGGACGATGAATGTTTCTCAGTCTGTCATAAGCAGGCTATGGTCCAGATACCGTGATACACAATCTGTACAGGACAGACCACGCTCAGGTCGACCAAGGGCGACAACTCAAGCCCAGGATCGATTTATCCGTACCTTGGCCTTGAGAAATCGTGTCATCACAGCAAATCAGATCAGCGCTCGTCTTCAAACAGACACTGGTGTGAGAGTGAGTGGCCAGACGATTCGGAATCGACTGCATAGGGGTCACCTTCGCGCCCGACGTCCTCGCGTGATCCCTTGTTTGAGAGATCATCACATTCAGGCAAGACGTCGTTGGTGTAGGGATCGTCAACACTGGGATAATCGACGCTGGAGCAATGTGATGTTTTCAGATGAGTCAAGGTTCACTGTTGATTTTTTGGACAGACGTAGGAGGGTGTGGCGGCGTCCAAACGAGCGCTTCCAAGACGTTAACGTCATCAGACATGATTGATTTGGGGGTGGTTCTGTTATGGTGTGGGGAGGCATCACTGTTGCTGGAAGAACGGCTTTACATGTTGTTGCAGGGCGTGTTACAGGACAGTACTACCGGGACAACATCTTGGCAGTCCATGTTGTGCCGTTCGCACGACGTCATGGCCGCCGTTTCATCTTCCAGGATGACAACGCAAGATGTCACAGGGCCAGGATCGTTACAGGTTACCTCCAACAACAGAACATCACCACATTACCTTGGCCAGCACTGAGTCCCGACCTCTCCCCCATCGAGCATGTCTGGGACATGCTTGGACAGAGGTTACGTCAACGTCAACAACGTCCTGCCAATCTGGACCAAAATGACCTTAGACGTCTCATTAGGAGTATGCCACGTCGGATCAATGCTTGTTTGGCAAACAGAGGAGGATTTACCCGTTACTGACTTGGTTGTGATGCTGTGGTAACTTTGCTGTTTGACCCCGGGTATCATTTTACCCTTATAATGGTCAGTCTGTGCCTTACTTAGTCTAACGATCATTTGGAATAAATCGATGAATGTGAACTTCATTTCATTTTGTCATTTGTTTCTTCGTCAGTTTCATTAGGTGACTTTAATAACACTTAAAAATCAAATATCCCCTACTTTTTTTGAATAGTATATTAAAAAGTAATGTAATCTAAATATGGAGTTCTTATGAAATCAGGTAGTCACGGTCACCCAGAACTTCCTAGTCTTCAACGTATGGAGGGTCTGGGACCGTTCTCAATATTTGACGAAAAGTTCCATTGCCCATGCATAACCGGGAGATTGATTTTTTGTGTGGCTGATTATCCAGTATCTTTGGCCACGTCAAGTAAGAGTTGTGCCCCTTCCCACAATAAATCCCATAATTCTTGAATTAATATAAAGAAACATGAATCGTGACATCAAATTAAAATTAATTCAAAAAACAC